GCACTGCCATCAAAACAAGATCACATGGCGTATGATTAACAATTTTTTATGGGATGTATCAGTTCATAAATATTTTAATATTGCAGCATTGATAAGTTTAAATGATTCATATTCAGAAAAATTGCGTTAATAGTTTTTTCCATTATGTGAATACAATAGGAGTACACACATTCTTATAAATACATTTTTGCTGTTCTGCTCCACTCAATTTACATACCCGCAAATAAACATTTTTACTTGTAAGCGTGCTGTGCACAAGTTTTTATGTGTGACTGACTTAATTAATTGAAAATTGGTGCTAGTGCACTCAGCATTACGCGGTTATACATTTGGAAAATAAATAAAAATTCGTCAGATAACTTGTCAGATAGGTTAAGTACTAGTAAACATGTGTTTTGAACACGCAATAGGGTCTAAAAACCAAGTCAACCACTCCCCATATTCAGGAAATCAATAAAAGAATGAGTTTTTAAGAATTTCGAAATAATATTAACAAATCATGTGGTGTCTGTTTCCTATTTAGTCCATTGGCTATGTATGAAAGCTATGGAGTAACTTTGGAGTAAAGACTATTTTTCCAAAAAAAAACGTGATAATATAGATCGATTGCTCTTTTTTAAAACTCATTAACAATCATCTCAACCTATTATACTTTCGAATCTGTAAAGGATTTAATCCACCTTGGTACCGCCGTTAAAAACAACAATGATGTCAGTCTGGAGATCAGACAAAGAATCACCATTGCTAATAGGTGCTATTATGGGCTCAATAGGCAACTGAGATGTAAAGCTCTCTCTTGATAAACGAAATTTACGCTCTTTAGGTCGCTCATCCTTTTTGTGGTTCTGTACGGCGCAGAAACATGGCATTATCACAGAATGATGAAGCAACACTAGGAGTGTTGCAGAGGAAAGTTTTCCGTAAGTTCTTAGATCCGCTACGAGTTGGCGACGACTATCGCATACGAATAAGTCACAAGCTGAAAGAGTTTTATCACGACATTGATATAATTAAGCGAATTAACATCCAACGGCTTCGCTGGCTTGGTGATGTCGTGAGATTAGATGAAGATGCTGCAGCGAAAAAGGTGTTTGAAGAAGTAGTTGTTGAAGGAAGGTGTAGAGATAGACCGTGTCTTCGATAGAGTGATTAAGTTGAGGGAGCACTAACCCGACATGATGTACGAGACTGGAAAATGGCGCCTAAGGAGACATGTTGCATCAGACCGAAACTCGGTAACGGTTTATGGCCAAATAAGTAAGTAAGTAAGTAAGTAATTCCTTACTTTTTAATATTTGATATAACTTTTTAAATATTTTATCAATCGACCCTTAAAAAGAGTTTTACTATTAAAAACATTTTTTAATACAGAAACATATTAAAGCTTCTGAAATACTTAATAAAATGTAATATATGTTATAATATATGATCAGAAAACCCTGGTACTGAGTACATTATTTCTTTTCTTTAGTTAGAAGATTTCATATATTGTAATTAATTGTAATAAATAAATAAGTTAATGTCTGTAGACAGAATGTCTCTATGTCATTCAATAAAGTCAAAGAATATCGTAAAATCTTAAAATAATAACTCCTTAAAATTTCTAACTGTTTAGCTAACTGTTTACATTCTAACTATTTATATCTTCCACATTCAAACATCGATGCTGGTACTAGCCTAAATAGCTGATTTATTATTTCAACTGAAAAGATACATCTCATTAGTACCACTCAACAGAGATCGTTGGCAGATTATTTGTCAAATTAACTAACCTGCCGTATCATCTCAACAATATGGATCTCACTACTATCAAAAGTTATTGTCTATGGTTCAAAATGTGGCCTGCGCATATATTATATAGTGAAAAATTGAAGCTTTTTTTCATTAATACAGCCATCTTAAGCTTTATACAGCTAAAGAAGTTTTCAAAAGAAATACCGAGATAATTTTAATAACAATTTACTATTGTTCAATGTTCTAAATACTAGTTGAAATGGCGAGGTACAAAGTAAATCTATAAAAAGCTTATGTGCCATACACTAGAAACACATGGTGGAGTAATGTACGATGTAAAAGACTATGCCCTACACTATAGGTGTATTGTAAGCACACTGTACAGTCTTGCAGTTCAGATATTTCTGCAAACTCACCTTTAATGAAATGACCCCCAATCTACTCTTAATAGAAAAATTAATTAATCATAAAAGGTTCATGTTTCTTAAAAATTTATTTTATTACTTTCTGAAACAATCTCCATTAGAGATAATATACTTATATGCCATCATCGATTCTTATTTATTTATTAGTTTTTTTATATGCTTGTAAACATTAATGAGAGTTTAAAAAGTCATGAATTTTATTCCATGGTATGATATCAGTTTTGGAAATAAAAAAAATCATATTAGCATCATATGTCATCTATATATGATATACATGATATGATAATATGATATTAAAATTTAATTTTATTTATAAATTATTGCTAAAAAAAACTAAATTTAACAAAATCCATTAAATATTGTCTGTTTTACTCAGTTGTAACATACAAAAGATATATCATAGATCACAGTACTTTCACAGTACGTTGCCGTATATAATTAAGGATAATAAGTTGAACTATATAATTTTGTCTTTATAGAATTTATCTTGTATTTAGTGCCTTTAAAAAATTTTTGTTATTTATAAAATATATGAAACAGTCTTTATATTTCTATTAAGAACAGATGCTGACATACTATTCCTTATATACGATTTACTATGTATTCATATATTATAATGTAGTTTATTCAAATGCAGTTCTAAATTTTGGTTTTCTATTACAATACTGTTTAACATTTCTTCTCATTTTTAATAAGATATTATTTATATTAGAAATTTCTTCTAAACTATGTATATTTCTCTGAAACATTCCTGATAAACCCACCACATAACCATATCTCCAGTACTACTATGGTAGACATACTACTTATGGTACATAGTAAAATATTATATCACTTTTAAAAAACTATGATGTTCCTTATTTTGGTGCTGAATTTATGAACTCATCGTGACATATATAATACATTATTAAAGATAAGATCTATAGTCAGTTATATAATATAAATAATCTGCAAGTGTCATTTAAAATCATGCTGCGCCAAATCATCCTAAAAATAAAATCATTAATTTAATAACTAAAGAAAAAAATCAGAAAAAAATATATTTATAAAATTCGAATGTGTAACAATAGTATCTGTTTATCTCTATGGCTAATATATTTCCCAAGTTTATTATTCAATTTACCAATAAAAAAGTACTCTTTATCATGATATAAAAAATAAGTAATATATACCTACATTAACATGTTTGATCACTAATGAAAATGATTTATTGATAGTGTTTGCTTTTGCAACCTATGAAGTTCCACTTACTCCGTGATGTGGACATGGGCGCTCTTGTAATCCATCAAATTAGTCATAAGTACTTACTTCGATCAAGATATTAATATTATCGTTGTTAAAATCGTTAGATATCCATCTTTTTGGGTTGAAAGGAATAACTTAATTATATAGATAGGTTTATACACTACGTCCGTGAGCAAGTTCAAGTAAATTGATGGTAAATTGAGGGAAATAGCAAACTATGTCGGTATGGCTGCGAATGTTGGTATTTACCAGAATTTCGAGAAGGGTAAATTAGATAAAAATTACGTAAATTAGGTGTTACCATGTGAAAATTTTATAAGACGTTTAATTAATAAATAAATAATTTTGGAAACTTTTAACCAAAAATATTCAATAAATGTAATAAATAAATATTTACATAGGTAAGTGCAATGCAAAAAAAAAATCCCTAGGAAATTTCAATTTACTTTACCTCAATTTACTCGTACTCGCACATGGCCTACATTTAAAATTTGGTGAATTTAATTTATTAGAACCTTTTTACCTTTTAATTAAAAAAAAATTAATTCAAATTGCAATTATTCTGTATTTATACAATAATAAACGTTTTTATTTCTCTATATTATAATCGAATGTAATAAATTTTCTGCGTCAATATTTTATAAAATCAACAAATTGTAGATAAAAATTGTTTGTGCGAAGGAATATTCATTATTAAACAATTTAATATTTTCCTTAAGTGTGGTTAATTTCATTACTTAACATTATTTATTTTTTGAAACATTAAGAATTAGAAAAATAAAAAAAAATATTTATTGAATTATTTTTTTTGTCAATTTAATCTTATTGTTGAAACATATGAATATATGTATAGTAAATTATAGAGTATACTCTATAATAACAATTATATAAAAAATGATATAAATTATGCAAATAATATATAACATAAATTATTTGCTATGTCATATATTGCGAATATTTTTAACATTAAAAAAATCGCAATTATAAAACATAATTTAAAATAAAAAATGTTACTGAAAAAGTACTAGTATAATATACATAATTGTATTATACATAATATTAGTACATATTAGTACTTACATATGTATATGCACAAATTGACATGAGTCAAAGTACATTATTATAGGAACGAAATTTGACGAGATAAAATTAAATTTCATAATTTCTTTTTAAGAAACTTTAAAAAAATTGTTTTAAATTTAGTAAGAACACTAATGAATTAGCATTTTAAAGTGTACATATATAATTAAATTCTGTTAAATTCTATCGAAAAATATTAAATATTAAATTAAATTTTGAATTTGATTTTCTTTTATTTATTCAAAATATTTATAATTATATATACATTGTATAAATTTTATGTTTTAGAAATTTTCTCACATTTTAAAATATCCGAAGCATTTTTCGTAATTTCTTCTAAATAATTTATATTACACATTTCAAAATTAAGATTTAACTAATTTAGTCAATAATTGTCAACATAAAGAAGTAAATAAAAACTTTTTCTAAATAAATCAAAAATTGACAACAACAAAAATTTTGTCCCAAAATAGAATATAACAACCGATTATAATTTGGTTTGTATAAAAACTAAAATTTAATTAAGTGAAAACTAATTTTATTTAATTTATTTATATTGCAGCCCGATATTAGGTTGTAAGCGTCTATATTTTGGTATGTTTTCAGTAGTTAATCCTTTACACCTTGTTGAAATTGCAATGTTGGTTGAACTTTTTTCAATTCTTCTTGCATTTGGACTGCCATTTTTTTATATTTATCTGCTTGAGACTCGTCCTTTGTAGTTCCATCTCCGCGTGCATACATTTGACTTAAATTAGCACAAGCGTACATATTTTTTAATTCGCAGGCTTTATACGCATAATCGAATGCTTTTTTCATATCTTTTTGTATTATAAAATCATTTGCTTTCTGCGATTTAATATCTATATCAGTAGTACTTTCTGGATTTTTGTGTACACCAGATATATGCATACCCGATAGATAAAAGCAAGCCGTTCCATTGTCCATATCACAACTTTTTGTCAAGTATTCAAGACCCTGAAAGGAAAGCAATGAACACAGAATTAAAAGCGGTGTAATATATATAAATATTGCTTAAATATTCATATTGTAGTATAATAAAAGCTTTATATTTTAAATAAGAGGAGTATTCAGATATACCCCTCTGTAGCCTGTTAACTCAGTAATCGTAAAGTAATAAAATAATAAACACTTGTATGCACACTCTTAATTCTTTCTCGGTAAAATTGTAAAAGTGCTTAACAAAATCAAGTAAATTATATCATTTTACTTTAAGGAAAATATAAAATGAATCATCTTGTAAACATTAACATATACGATATATAATTTTGGCTTTACCAAGTTACTTAGCATATCCTTTGAATATTTTTGTGGTTTCAAATTATATTCACAAATGAAATAATTAATATAATTATAAAGATTAGTTACAAACTATAAGGTCTGCTATCCAACCTATCATATATGGTATGTCTTTTAGAGACTTTTTACACAAAGTCTTGTAGTAATGTAGTGTAGATAAATATTAAGGGTTAGTAACATACTATTCTTTTAGCTGAATTTTATATTTCTTGAAAAGGGTGTTTAATTTAAGAAGTTATTGAAACTTATCAATCTTTACAGTATTTAAGCATCAAATAATTTGAAAATATTTTTAATCTATCTTAAAAATCCCTATAAAATACTCATAAAATTCAAAAAAAAAAACATTACTCTGATATAAAGATTTAATGATATACAATAAAGAAATGAGATACGTGATATATTACAAAATAATATTTAAAAATTATAATAGAAAAGATATTTAACCTGTCAGAAATAAAAACAATTAACATTAAAAAGTCAAAAACAAAAGAATAGAATTACGTGAATGAATGAAAATCAATGTTTATATTTGATACATATATATATACAGCCATTTTATTACTTATAAAATAAAAATTCCTGATAATGTGTTTCTAGCACTATTAGAACGATTTTTAGATCCATAAATATAGAACTAACCTTAACGATAATCAACGATAACTATTGTTAAAATAATATTGCCAAAGCTACTGAATTGACGTCTTAGTTCTGTAGTTGCTGTTGCAAGCCGAAGAAACCTCTATACCAGGGAACATTAATGGATTATATGCCAAATAAATTTGGTAGATATGTCGGAAACTGATATAGTCTAATATTATATAAAAAATATTATTACTGAATTAACGTCTTAGTTCTGTTGTTGCAACCCGAAGAAACCTCTATAGCAGGGATCATTAAGGAATTATATGACAAATAAATTTGGGAGACATATCGGAAAAGGTTATAGTCTAATTTGTTTATTTATTCTAGTTAGTTCACTTTGAGATAAGAAATCTGATTTCACTATATTAATAAATATTATAAAAATATAAGCAAACAAATATTAATATTACTTAAATTGAAATAGAATTAAATTAAATATAATTTAAAACTATAAATTGAAAAATCAAATATCAGCAAAATTACAATTTCATATTTTTTCTTTCATATGAAAGCACTATTATGTAAACCTTTTTAAATGGATTCACATACCAAAATCTTTTGAAATATAAAATATATATTTTATACTGTCATTTAATAGAAGTTATTGTAAATAATAAATTAAATAACAATTGATTAAATAATAAATCAAATCATTAACTTATTTTGAAGTTCATAAATTTTACCTTCGGCACATCTCTGTCCATTTGTTTAGGCATAGAACGAGAGACCAGCAATAATCCTGAATGTAAACATGATTCTGAATCGTTAAGATTACATCCCTTTTCATAATAGTTATAAGCACTACGTGGATCACCTTTGCTCCCACTTTTCCCTTTGCCAAGAAAACTGTAATTTCCAAATTTATAGCATGATTTTGCGTAACCATAATCGTCACATGTTGATTTGTAAACTTTAGCAGCCTTTTCAAAATCTTTCTTAATACCCTCTAAGTAATCTCCAAGTAAGTGGCATACTGTTTATAGAATATAATTTATGATAAATAATTATCTTTTAATAGTTTAAATTTAATAAATTTTATACAAACACGAAACACCGCTAATGTTTTGTAATTAAGATTCTCGCATTACCTTCTGGTTTTTTTTCTGAATAGCAACCAAATCGATATTCAATACCCAATTTTTCTATATATTCTTTAACATCCGATTCCTTTTTTAGATCAAAACTCATTTTCAACTATAAGAACAAAACTTTTAAACTAGAATTTTCAGAATACCTTAACCTTTCTGTTTTCATAAACACAAAAACAACAACTGTTGACTTTGACAGATGTCAAAGCCATGTTCATGTTTATTAGTTCGAGGCTCGAAATGGTCACGTAGTACAATCATTTCTTGCAATCGCCTGTAAAATTACGTATTACATTAAAAAAACTAAATTTATTTATTTAGAATTATGGATTAAAAAAAATTATAAAATATAAATGTGAATAAGACAAAGTAATTTTATTAAAGTGTCATATGTTTATTAACACAATTAATTTACACTTAAAAGATTATTCCATGATATGGCTATGAAATTTTATTAGAGCTGCCAACTACTTAATATTATAAAATTTTATAGTTTTATGTATGATATAATTAAAAAATATTTAACACTTTAATTCTTATATATAATAAATAAAAATTAACTGTTATATCATATTCACGCAGCACAAGCAAATATAATTTTGCTCATTAGGTTCGTTCTGATATAAATCTTTATATTTTAGCCAATTCACATTGTCTCATTTAGGCGGTTTTACTCGTTATAGTCACTACTGAGAGTGATTTACCGTACAAATAGCTTTTATATAAATGACCACATTATCAATAAATCAGCTCATTTAGAGCAAAAAATGTCGAATGTAACACTTACAAATAAATTTCTCACAAAGGAAATTGTTAAACTTTAAAAATGTATCATGTGTTTTATATGTAAAATGTAAACAAACAACAACTGAACTGTAAATAAAAGCACTGAGAAAGTACGTTTTTAATAAAATATTTGGCTTTATTAACTGAATATGTAATTAATATATAAATTATTTAATATATCAATTACATATTTAATTATTTTGTGTGATATATTAAGTGAAATTTATAAAAATTTTATCAGCTGTATAGATGCGCTCATTACAATGAGAACGTTCACTTATTAATATAAATGAGCACATGCATAAATTAGACAGTGTGAATATACTATTGTTTTTGTAAAATGTTTATGTATAAAAATAAATACATAATAAAATTGATTTTTTTAATGTATTTATAAAAATAAAAATACTCAATAGTACAATATTCCATATTGTTTTGTTTTACTTTATGAGAATTACTTACCAAATCGGTAAACCTTGATTTTGTACAAATTACAACCTAATCATAGTTTTGTTTGTCGCTTTTTGTATAAAATCAATTTTACAACAAACCAATTCGAATAAACTGAACGAGCAAAATTGCAATTACTTTTGCTGTGTGAAGAGATATTTAATTTTTGTAAAATATTTAAAAAAAAAATTAATATTTATTTATTTTATTATATTGTATATAACATATTAAATACTACTTTTCATTTTACTTTTTGCTTCGGACGTCTTCTTCTTATCAATCAATTTCAAAAGATCATATGTTGAAATTGATTTTGGTCTCTCAATAGGCATAAGAAGTATGCGATGCCATGTAAGTGAAGCCAATACACCCAAAGCGCGTGAAATACCAAATAAAACAGTATAGAAACTTGTCTCCGTTAGACCGAAGTGTTGTAGTAACACACCAGAATGCGCGTCTACATTTGGGTATGGATTACTTACTTTACCAGTAGCTTTAAGAATTGGTGGTACAATTTCAAAGAGCTTAGAAACTATTTTAAAATCTTTGTCATCTGGCAAATATTTCAAAGCAAATTCACGTTGGCAGGTATAACGTGGATCTGTAACACGTAGTACAGCGTGACCAAAACCAGGGATGACCTATAAAAATATAAATACATATTATATAAAAAATAAATATATTTATATAACAAAGAAGTATTTACTTGTCCAGATTTTAAGGTTTTCTGCACGAATTCCTTAATTTTATCATCTGTAGGAGTATCACCAATTTCCTTCTTCATATCTCCAAGCCATTTTAATACTTCTTGATTGGCTAAACCATGTAATGGACCAGCTAATCCATTCATACCAGCAGCAAAACATAAATAGGGATCACTTAAAGCCGATCCAACTAAATGTGTTGTATGCGACGATACATTGCCGGTGGCGTGATCCGCATGAATAACAAAATATAAACGCATTAAATCCGTAAAAGTTTCATCCTCGAAACCAATTAATTTAACAAAATTTGCAGTCCAATCTAATTCAGGATTCATGACTTTTTTGCTTTTGTCACCGCAAAAAGTGGTTGCATATATTTTAGAGCCTATCAGTGGTAATTTAGCAATGATATTCATGCTATCTTCATAATAATACTTCCAGTACTCAGTCTTCTTGACACCCTGAAAATTGTATTATATTGAATAAACTTTTATATACATATATGTAATTAAATTAAATAGTAAGAATTTACGCTATTATAAGCTTTAACAAAGCTACTATCATTATGCAAAGCAGTTATAACACAAGACAGTTTGGCCATTGGATGTAAAGATTGCGGCAAATTATTTAAAAGATTCTCAGCATAATCAGGAAGTGGAGAGCGTTTATACCAATCCTGTGTTAATGCCTATGTACACAAAATGGTTTTAATTACTCATATAAATAAATAATGAAAAAAAATCTATATAGCATGCTTATTACCTTGCATTGCTCCTTAGTTGGTATGTCACCAGTAAGTAAAAACCAAAACACACCTTCCGGCAATGGTTGTTCGCCACAATCACCCTTTGGAAGTTGCTTTAAAAATTCTTCAGTATGCAAACCACGGTAACGAATACCTTTATTTGGATCTACATTGGATGTATCACAAAGTAAAGCCACAACACTACGCATGCCACCGTACATCTAAAATACATATTTGCATTATATAAAAATTATTCGACATATAACATATTCAATCCATACGTTGCCAATGGTTGTTTGACTTAAAACGATATCCTTGTAATTCTTACGAATCTCTGCGACCTTCTTGCGTTCGGCATCAATTTTGCTCTCCAAAGCCAGCTTCAAATCTGTTCCTGACGATGCCAAACGAACAAAGCTTTGCTATTTTTTATACATATATATGCATAAAAAATTAAAAAAAAAAAACAACTAAATAAATAAAACTTTTACAGAAAAAAATTTAAAAATAAAAAGTGGCGCCACACACAGAATTCCATATATCATACATACATATATATATAAGGCGCCATTTTTATATTTTAAAATTTTCTTCTCAGAAAATGTATATTTATTTATTTTTTTAATAAACTTCAATAAATCTTGTTTCATTTAATATATATACAACATTCAAATAATAATTTATATTAATTTTCGATTTCTACTTACATTTAATGGAACTTTAGTGAGAGCCCGGCAAAACCACATATTTGCTTCGAAACGTTACTTTATGTTCTAAGTATCGGAAGTTATCTGAAAAATATACTTTAATAATTTGAAGTGTGATACTACATGGTAAGAAGGAATGAGATGGCTATAGGTTGCGTATAAGATAACTATATGAATTGTTCAGAAATAATTTTTACATAGTGAAAGGGAGCTAAACAAAAATTTTAATTTTTAATCTTAATTATCAAATAATATTATTTTTATATTGTATTAATAATATTGTAATACTTATTCTTGTTGATTCAAAATTTTTGAAATGTGAAATATAGAAGTTATATTAAAAAATTTAGTTTCCTAAGTTTAAATCAAAAATTTCAGCTGAAAACATAATCAGTGCTAACTTAGTTGTTAAAAAATTAGGTTAGCACTATTTACAATAAATTCAATTTGCAATAAATATCCTCCCGATGGTATTATAAAATAGTTACAAAATACTTATGCACTTAAAATACTAATGTTATGGCTTTTTACAGTGTCATTTTGCAATGTCATGAGGCCTTTTCTTTTGTAAGCATATCACAAAAGAACAACCGCTTATTTTAAAATTAACATATGAAACAACACCACTGCTAGCTTATTCAGTCGTGCATATTAAAATATGACCGTTTCCAATAAATGACCATGAATTATATATATAATTTTTTTTTTGTGAGATATATTAAGTAGTAAAAGTTTTACCAACTGTATAAATGAGCTCATTATAATTTAAACGCTCATTAATATAAATGAGCAAGTGCCCAAATGAGACGGAAAATCTCTTTCAGTTTTAAATACAATATGTAAAAAAGTAATAACAAAAAAGTAGTGCTAATTAATTGTTATAAATAATAAAATTTGTTTTAATATATTATTATAATATTTTTTGCTCATTGCTTCTGCAAACAGGAAAATATTTTAAATCGTTATTTTGACTAAAATTTCAATAATGAAATTTGTGTATATAGTAAATAAATATACATATATGGATTATTTAGCATACGGTAAACAAAGATACCATTGTAGGATAAATAAACACAGCTTTTATATTGTGTTATCTTGTACAGAATCTAATCACAACATAATGGCTTGCTAAGACTTCTCCCAATAATAAAATCGCTAGATAGCATTTCATAAGTCAATATTTAACTTTAACAAATTCGAACTGCTAAGTCAACTAAGACTTCTCCCAATGATAAAATCGCTAGATAGCACTTTATATGTCAATATTTAACTTAAACAAATTCGAACTGCTAAGTCAGCTGTTCTAAGCTTAATTGTAGATATATTTTTATGGATGGTTTAAGAGTTTTAACGAGGTCTGCTCTAATCACAAAATATGGCCTGGCTGATTCTTTGTAGCGATTTAACTCTTTATTATTTAAGCATAAGTTTAGCATGGTAAAAAAAAATTATGAACAATACTAATAGAATATATTCTTACCAGAATATATATATAATGTTATAATTTAAAGAATATTGAAAATGCAACCTTATGTAATTGCGTTCCTTATTATTAACTGCTTCGTTCTTGATTTCAAATTGCGGGAACTACGGATTATGCTTTCATCACATTTGCGCTATGCATTATCATAAACAAGTTGTAACTTGTCTGTAGTACTACTTTGAAGACATTTTTTATGGAAGAGATCTGATTGGATATAAAACATTATTAATATAAGTGTGGATTTTTCATTTTATATTAGATTTAACTGATTTTAAATTGACTGTGTTTAAAAATTTGGTGAGTTAAAATATTACTTTCCTATTATTTGCATAAACCGTCTCGGTAATTAAGTTCACATTACATATAAGTATGCATTTACTAAAATAAACTATATGATATATGCATATGTATATCACTTAAAAATACACTTATATTGAAACAGTTTTAAATAAATTATATAGCGTATAAGGCATATAATCTAAATTCGCTCAGTCCATGTAGAGTGCCAAGGTAGGGGCACCTGGACCAGAATCGCCAAAGTTGCTGTAGCCCTACATTCCGCTAGGCAAAATTTTTACAGTGGTTTTGATATGATGTATAATGGAAATATTTTAACTCATTATTTATATCTAACACTCTTTATTTTCTCGCATAATTTAACCTTCTTAAATTTTCGGTTCATTATTGATTCATTTCTGTTGTATACTGCAGTTTTCTTTCTGTTATTGGGGCTCAGAAATAGTATAGTACTCAATAGTATATCGAAATTTGGCTAATAGTCTTTTGAAGATAGGAGGATTGTATTTCTGTATTAATACGCAGTATAAAATTGGTCGAATTGGGAGATCATATATATTTTATTGATACCATTTTTATTGGACACCTTATATTGACACCTTGCATCCGTTCATAATTTTGAAAATCGTGATTAGTTAATATAGTTTCTCACAAGTGCTACGAATTCTCCCAAATATGTTATATATTAGTTGAATTCTAAACTATTCTGAACTGAATTCTAAACTGATATATTCAAAACTATAGAACTGGGAACTGATTATAGATATCTGCCAGGTATTAACGTCTTTAATATTTTCAAAAATTTATGTTTATTCTAAGATATATTTAAGTTAATGCTTTAGTTTTGGTTTAAAATTATTACCCAAATTGTTTAAAATATTTTAATATCAAGTTTGATTTTTCATTAAATTCATATATTTATTTATTAAATTGTTTTATAATATTATATAATGAATTTATTTATGTTTTAAAACAACAACTACAAAATTATTTTTATAACTAATTTATTGTTCAATTGTGTTTCATTTGCAGTTTATGCTTATATGCATATTGTTTTTAATTTATTAATTTTTTTTAAACTTAAAAGTTATAAAAAAATCCTTATTAAAGATTTCATATATAGAAAGTTTTTTGTTTCGATACTATATCTAATTATTATTTATTAATAAATTTTTTTTAAAAGTATTAAAGAAAATAAGGAAAGAAAAATATAATATAATTTATAATAATTATAATTTATAATAAATAACTAAAATATTTTAAAAAATAATAATTTAAAAAAATGTAAAAATATATATAACAAATACAAACTATATTACAAAAATAAAAGATCAATAATAATATTAAAAATAATAATAAATATATAATTGTAAAATAATAATAATATCAAACAAAATTTAAGATTTTAATTAGAATATATAATAGATATATAATAGAATTACAAAATATAATTTAAATTAAATAATAAGACTATAATCTTATTTGTATAATAAAAATATATAAAACAATACGATAAATAAAATAATAAATGTAAAATGAATATCGTAATAAATGATAACAAAATAACTTTAATAAAATATTGATTATATTAAAATAATTGAAAATAAATTTTTATGAAAAAAAAAAAATAAAATAAAATTTTTAACATTTTTTAGTAGTCAAAGTTGGTGGCTACCCACTCCAATCTTACCTTACTTGTTTTGTTTTAAAAAATGTTCTTATAGGAATATAGATCGCATACAGAGGACTAGAAATGTCAGTAACAAAATTTTAGATGCATTCATCGAAGAAGTTTAGTTAAAAGAAAAGAAGTTTTGAATAATATGTAGAAAGAGTGCTGATTAATATATCAGATCATTCAAATTATGGATCATCAAAATAACTAAATATTTTAATTTTCTATTGTCGTAACTGTTTTAATCGATAGAAAACAGTATAAGTCCGGGAGTATTTGAAGTATAAGTCACGTAGGCTTATGAATTAATATTTGAACCTATAAAACAACTACATTCGGATAATTTTAGCTACGAATATATTAAATAAACTCAGCCAAATTCCCTGACTAAATTCCAAATTCCCTAATAGACTAATATACTGTACCCTGAGGAAAGCGGTAAAGTACTCTTAAAAATTATATAACTAGACAATAACTTGTCTAATACCTGTCACAGTACTTTCAATTGTACGACTAAAGGTATTTTTGTCAGATAAACTTTCCTTTGAAAACCTTTTTCTTAGTGAATATTCCATCTCATATAATTTTTTTCCCTCTCTTCGATCAAAAAAAAAACATTTCTACATTATATGGCTGAATATGTCCTGAATATATTTATCAGTATGTAATCAAAAACTTTAACCCGCACCAATATAGAACTATGATTATGTCTTAACTAGCCATTTATTTAAAACCCGGAATATGTTATCTCTGATAAAAATCGCATATTAAATAGAAATATAATAAAAAATATTAAAATAAATAAAAATAAAATTTAATAACATAATACATTTTTAGACATATAACAAAATATAAATTTAATTCATATATATTGTATATAAATAAATATTTGTAAGAATATAATATAATATAAATAATATAAAAGAAATGTACACCAACATAAATTTATTGTTATATTTTATTTCTTGTATTTATTCAGCTTTTTTAAATGTTTGTTCTTATTTAATGATAACAATCATTATTTATAATTAAGTTTAATGCTTTTTTTTATACAATTGTTAATTAAATAAATTTCAAAATAAAACAAAATAATATTAAATTTAAATGAAATTAAGTAAAATGGTTAAGTAGTTTTCAGAGGTGGAGGTTTTGGTGATTGTGGGCAGGATGCCTACAGCTTAAGTGGGAGAGCGGAGGGTGTTTAGAGTTGGTAGTCGCATAGCTTATTGAGTTCGTTTATAACAACAATAACTATCATTTTAATTAATATCATACATCGCTAATTAAATTTTAATTCTAGCTTTGTTTCGTTTTGTAAGATTATTCAAATAATTTAGAGGTACTCACATAAAATACGCTTTAACATCACTAGCATATATGAAATCTAATTAATTAATCTTTAATCTTACTTGCATAATTTAAATTAATTTAAATTTTCTTAATTTTTGATTTTTAAATTAAAAAAGTAGAAATTAAAATAGTCACATTATTATAATAGGTTCACTTGGTTTTTTCATTTTTTGACTTATGTTATTTAGTTTTGCATTAACGCTCTTTGTAAATTTATGTTGATTATTTGGTTTGCTTTATACTCTTGTTTTAAAATGAATATATCCCTCCTTCTTTATAATGAGTTTACTTTTGCACCATTTTCATGAGCATATCAGTGGAAAGTGATTTGGGTCTTTCGATTGGCAAGCCCAAAGCGCGATCCCAAACAAGTGAAGCTAACACACCCAAAGCACGTGAAACACCAAACAATACAGTGTAGTAGTTCATTTCCTTCATGCCGTAGTATTGCAATAGAACACCAGAGTGAGCATCTACATTTGGCCATGGGTTCTTAACTTTGCCGGTTTCAGTTAGAATTGGTGGCACAACCTTGTAGATCTTTGAGACAAGTTGGAATAGATCATCGTTTGGCAGGTGTTTTAGTGCAAACTCACGTTGGCAGGTGTAACGTGGATCCGTTTTGCGGAGTACAGCGTGACCATAGCCAGGCACAACCTTATTAAAAATTTCAACATTAATTCATTTTAAGGAAACAGCATTTAAAAAAGATTTTATTACCTGTCCAGATTTCAATGTCTTCCATACATACTCCTTAAGTTGTTCTTCTGAAGGATTGGCACCAACTTCTTTTTGCAATTTTCTTAACCATACCAATACTTCTTGATTAGCCAAACCATGGAGTGGACCAGCCAAACCATTCATACCAGCAGCAAATGAAAGATAGGGATCGCTCAAAGCCGAGCCAACCAAGTGAACAGTATGAGCAGATACATTACCACCTTCGTGATCACTGTGTATTGTCAAGTATAGACGCATTAATTCAGTGAATTTTGGATCATCATAACCCAACATTTTAACAAAGTTGGCAGACCAATCCAAATTGGGGTCAATAGATTTTGAGCCTTTACCGCCGCGGTATGTATTGCAATAAATAGTGGCAGCAACAACTGGCAACTTAGCAATTAAATCCATGCTATCTTCATAGACATATTCCCAATATTTGGATTTATGTACACCCTACAAATAAAATATATTTTAAGTTAAAAACAAAATAAAATAATATAAAATAATTAATAATTAATTTTACCTCTGAGTAGGCTTTAGCGTATTTGCTGTCATGATTCAATGCTGTTACGGCACAAGCTAATTGTGACATTGGGTGAAGAGTGGTGGGCATGTTGTTCAACATGTTAACAACATGTTGTGGCAAAGCAGCACGTTCAGCCCATTCGCGTGATAATTGCTTTACTTGAGCTTTTGTTGGTACCTGACCAGTCAACAATAACCAAAATAGACCCTCTGGCAATGGCTCATCGCCACCATCAGCTTTTGGAAGCACTTTTTGGCATTCAGGAATGGAAAGTCCACGGAAACGAATACCCTCATCTGCGTCTAAGACAGAGGTTTCGCAAACAAGACCTTTAATTCCACGCATACCACCATACATCTATAAAAAGGAATTGTGAGTAAATTATTTGTAAGCAGTAAACTTAAAACTTTTGAAAAACTATCAAGCTTAAGATTGCAAATAAGTTGAGAAAACCTATAAACATCGAGAAGACTAACTTAATTTTCAGTAAGTACACATTACTTAAGTCATATTATCTATTTTTTGTACATCAAATGTTCCATTCTAGTTTATTAGACTTAGTCGATATTGAAACCGACTATTCTATTTAAATTTTTGTATAGATAACAACCTGATTTTAATGGTTCAAGGATAATATTAATTCCAAAAGATCTAATCAATCGAACACCAGAAAGTCCATTAGTCTTTATGACGTTCATTTCGAGTTTATTAGGCTAAGTCGGTACTTAAACCGACATTTTATTTAAATTTTAGAATAGATAACAATCTGATTTTATTGGTTCGAGCATAATACTAACTCCAAAAGAACTAATTATTCGAACATCAGAAAGTCCATTAGTTCTTATGACATTCCGTTGTAATTTATTAGGCTTAATCGGTATTTAAATACCCGAATAGATAACATCGTCAAATTAGTGGTTCGAGTATAATACTAAGTGCAAGAGAACTGATTATTCGAACATCAAACAGTCTATTAGTCTTTATAACGTTCTTTCTAGTTAATTAGGTTCAGTCGTTATTTAAACACTTGAAGTAAGGATAACAGCCTGCTTTCAAAAGTTCAAAGCAAAATACTATCGCAGTTTCTTACGTTATACAGATTGAGGTATAACGTGACCAGGTATCTTTTTTTTAGTTTCTATTTCTACTTGTGACCCGCCTATGGAGTCTATTGTCTTATTAAAGCTTAATATAAAAACCATTATGTAAATTTATCAAATTTCAGATGCCAGTCCTAAGAGTGTTTTTATCTAAATGTTTTCTAAGATATTCTCAGGGAAATTATACGATCAAATATTATATAAAAAATTTTAATTAAATTGTAATGGTACAAAGAAAGCAAATAACTTGAAAGGTCCAACGATTACACTGCATTTATTAATTTTTTATCCCACTGTTCTGTTATATCGAATTATTATATAATTTATTATCGTCATTTTTCTCGAGAATTTTCACATTAAAATTTTTAATCCATTTTGCAAATAGAAAAATTGTAAATTAATTTAGCTAAATATCTTATCAGTGAACTATAAATATATTTTATATACGTCAATAGGTTATTGATTCCATATATTAATATTTGAGTAGATTATATTTTTCAAATCAGTTAATACATAGAGTTTCAAGGGTAGTCATAAAAAACTGAAATTTTGAATTGCTTCTATATAATCATTAAAGATTATTATCTTTGTGTCTTATGAAACACACTTAAGTTTATATATTTTAAGCAAATGATTGTATAATTTTATATTCAGTTCAACAACAGATGCAATATAAAATATAACTTAATCTCATCTGGCACCAAGCCATTATTTTCTACATATCCAATTTTATATGTAACATGTACAAATAGTCGGAGAGGAGAAGTAGATTCATGTCGAACTATTTTAATATATTTGCATACTACAAAAAAAATCATACTAAATTTACAAATGTTCGAATTATATTTCCGAATCCGAAAACTTAAATTGCAATCGCGAATTTGTTGGCTCTCAATAAGATAAAAAGGTTAATGAGCTTTTTATTTTTCTAATTTGGCGCAGTACATGTAATAGTGTTCGAATTATATCTTCGAATTCGAAGTTTTAATTGCAATCATAAATTTGTTTCAATACGTTTGTTTGTGTTTCTAATTTTGCCATTACTTTTATAAAAATAAAATCTTGTTATATTTGCAAATGTTCGAATTATATTTCCGAATCCGAAAACTTAAATTGCAATCGGAAATTTTTAGTCTCTCAATGTGACAAAAAGGTCAATGATCTTTTTGTGTTTGTTTGTTTTTCTAATTTGGGAATTGCTCTTTAAAAAAAATATTTTTAAAACAAATATAAAGTGCATTTAATACTATTAACCTATTTTCAATTTCTAAATTTACCATATCGATTGTGGTTTCGCCAGTTTTTGTTGCGCCATATTGTTTCCTGAAATTCTTCACACGCTCTTGTTCGGCTGGTACTTTCGAGGCGAGTACATCACGTAAACTCGAATCAGCTGAGATGAAGCGTACGTACGATGCAAGGAAAGCGTTGAATTTCTAAAAAAAGAATAGAAATCGGAAATGTTATCAAAATTTATATATATATAATATTTGCTGGTATAAATACTATTTCATATGTGCATATATATTGTGTATATAAGAATATGTATAAACTTGACAAAAAATGAAAACGGAAAATGTGAAGCGATTAGCTTGCGTATTTTTAATTTACAAATTAAATAATTTCAAATTATTTCAAAGCAAAAAACAAAAAAAAATATAAATAAATCTAAATACTTTGCGATAATACGTGACCCTTTAATTCGGAACGAGAATAAAACGGTTGCATTCATCAATTAGCGAACGACAATGTCATTGAAGTGAACTTCAACTCGGAAAGGCAGAAAATTACATTCTGTCGCGACTTCATAAAACGCTCTGTTGATAAGGTTGTTCCGATAATATGAGAATTAAAATGCATTAAAAAAACTTATTATAAATACACATCTAATTGGGGATTTATAATTCATTGAATGTAGTAAGGCACTACTGCAAAACACATAGTTTTCTTATACTTAATACTATTAGCAATATCGATATTTCACATATATGCTGTTCAAGTAATAATGATACCATCTAACATACATTATCTTTAAAAATACATAACTTCTATAACTACAATTAAGTATATAGATTATATATGTGCTCAGGTATTAGTTATATATTCGCTTATTACGACTATAATCAGTATAGAAATGACTCCCCTTGTGCTACACATAGATTTCAGCAGTTTTAGTTCTAACAAGTCTGCATAGATTTCTTATAATCCTATAGGAGATCCTAGAGATAAAAAATGCTATAAATACTAACTTAATATAGAAACCCTATTGAATACACCTATTTACAGCAATTTTTGTCATAGTTATACAAGATTTGTGTATTATTACTGTGTCCTTATTGTAAAGAATAGTGAATAAAGTTATATTCCATAGTCATTTTATTAGCTAACGTTTTTAAACGATTTCCAAAAGCATACCTCTGCTCCTAGTAGGCTTTATTATATAATATATCAGTATATCTATATATACAAAAATCTGATTTCATAAGTCCATTTATTGTCATAGCTGCTATACAAGATTTGTGGATTACTACTGTTTGCTTAAGTTTAAACAATAGTGAATGAAGTTATATTCCTGAAGTTTCCTTGAAGATGACTATCGAAAATAATCGAAATATCGGAAAAATATTTTAATAAAATATACCAATAGAAAATATAATTTCTATTTAAATGACCAATTATATTCCATAGTCCTTTTATTAGGCTACATTTCTAAACGCTTCCCGGAATAAGTTCACATATTATTTGTTTTTTGCGTCTGTTAAGAAGTGTGAACGGCACATGGTCGTCTGTTTAAACACACCTGTAACTCCGTAACTCCAAGACATAGATCGTACCGGTTTACATATTACCTGTAGTGAATTATTACTACAAAATCAACTTAAATTCTAGCTATCAAAAAATAAATCAAATATGATACAAATGACTTTATAGCCAGTAGGACAAGGTGTTAACTTCAACGTGGCTCATACGGATTTAAATCATTCTAGCATACACTAACCCATAATATTCAATTGATTTGTATGAAGAACTGAAGAACTTAAAAAAAAAGACAATATGGAATGTGAATAGTAATTGTGAAAACCAATAAATTGACAAAATGATAATGTAATCAGCAAATTAATTGATTATTCAAATCATGCTGACTGCAGGCTTAACACAACGAGAGTTTGTCTCGCGAAAGACTCGCTCGTACGAGAAGCACATGGAACGTCGAATGGATGGTTTGTGATTATTCACAATAATGATCACCAGACAAACATGCACTACAACTACAACATGTGTAGTCTGCAACAGACAGTTGAGAAACAAGTGTACACACGTTAACTAAGAACAGCCGAAGTAAGTGTGCAGGAGAGGGAAGATCTATGACGATATGACAGTTTTTTTTGTTTTATAAAAAAAACCCGTCATTTATGCATATGAAAAAATGATATGCGGAAAAAGTATGTCATTATACGCTATGATGAATATATTTGTTTATATGTATATGAATGTGTTTGTTTGTGTGTTTGTTTGTTTGTTAGTACGCAATGTAGGTATCGGTTACGCTCTCTTGCTATTTTTGTTGTTGTTGTCGGCGTTTTTGTGATTGGTGTTGTTGCTGTCATTTTTACTTTAGTGGGTCAACAAATTCGATTAACCGTTGAACTTGATTATTTGAACGGCAAATGAATTTATTGCTGCATACGAGAGTGAATGAATGAATATTTTATTTTATTTTTTTATTATTTATTTTTTTATTTTTTGCGAATGAACTGGACTTAGGATTTTATTCATTTACGTGTGTTTGATTGTTTATTTATGTAGATTAATTTTAGCGCGCGTTTATTCGAATTTTTTTTTGTTGCTAACGTCAACAAATACAAAAGTCGAAATTTGCATAGACGTTCGTTCGTTCATTGGTTTGTTCGCTTACTCAAATAATTTAAACTCAGCTTGAATAAAAAATAAGACCCGGTAAATGGAAAATTTTTTCTAGCACTTAAAAAAATTAGTATTTTCATTGACTTTGCAAATGTGTGTTAAAAAAATACATTTTGCATTTATGAACATTTTATTTAAATATTACATAAATTCGCAATAAATTTTACAGTTTATAGTTTTTTAATATCTCATATAAACTTGACTTAAAATAATATTGAAATGTCTTTTGTCAAAGTCATTTGCACAGCTGAATTCCTAATACTATAAGAGTAATAAGGATCTCACATAACGAACTAGTTAAGCGGGTAACTAGTTAAGGTGCAAAGCGGCTAGAAAAAGTACATTTCGAATGCATATGTTTTATAATTAGCCCTAACAGTGTTACCATATTACCTAAATAACCTAGTTTTATCTTATCTGTATTACAATAAGCGTATACATGATCTCGCGTAACTTGATAATCGAGTAACTAGATAAAGTGCAAAACAGCAACAACAAAATACACTACGATCACATTTGTTTTGTTATTGGTAATAACAGTGTTACCATGTTACTTGATAAACTAGTTTTATTTTATTCGTGTTACAATGAGAGTAAACACGATTTCACGTAACGAACTTGATAACCGAGTAACTTGTTATAGTACAAAGCGACAACAACAAAATACACTGCGAACACATATTTGTTTTGTTATTGGCCCTAACAGTGTTATCATTTTACTTAATTATGATGTATACCTCTTGTATGCATATATACATTTATTAAATCAAAACAAAATATTTTAAAACTATATTTTTCAAAATGTTAGATCTAAATATTTACTCTTCTTCTTTGCTTGTTAAATACTCAATACTGTCTCTGCCATTTGTTGTGTCCACCTTGTTATTAACATCGTGTCTTCTAATGCCTTCCATGTATTTGGCTTTTGTCAGTCGTAAAATCTCCCTCACTAGCAGTTTTTATGGCTTTACCTTTTAATTTCAAAAGTATAGTTTGAACCCCAACATGTTTTCCTGACGGAATATGTATTGAATTTGAGTTAAGAGACTTTAATTCAAAATTAGTGTGAGCATCTTGAGAATCAAACTATTTCAACGCATATCAGTCATGATATGCTTTTCCACACCATCGATTCTTAGGTCTTGGTATATATATTAATTTATAATATAGAATGGAGCATAATTTTAAACCCACAATTTCCTTGGTAATTGAACCCACAATTGATACTATTAAATATCAGTGATGGGTTCAAGAAGAACATGGGTCCAAGAACGGCAGAACGCACTTTCTGAAACAACCCGTCGAGTTCAACAATCAAGTGCCGTTCAGCACTCCCTAGCTAGGAGTGCCTCCCTACAGAGGCAGATCGTAGCGTTAATTACGAAAACTCATTAAACAACATTTTTGTCTACTCTCATAAAAATAACTCAATTCTCCGTACTAACAAAAAGTTATTATCAACATTTCAAAACAAGTCATATATAACTTAAATATAATATTTTATAAACTTTTATTTTATATATTATTTCAATATTTCAGTATATATATTATATTTTTTTAGTCGTTTATCAAATCAGTTCTGTTAAATTAGTTTCGCCAAAAACATAGAAATATAAAGACATGTAATTTGCCTCTGTTAAAAAAATCATGAATTCTGAAAAGGTACACGCAATGGGAAAAACATGTCTGTTCAAACGTATAAACAATCGAACTTATTATTTTATGTATGATCAATGCTATTTTGTTAGTGGAGTCAGCAATCAAACCAATAGCGAATATGTTGTATTTTGCTTGGACAAAATCATATAGAAAAAGAAAAAACTCTAATATCAGAGCAAATGCACACATAGCTTCCAGTTCATGCGTATGTAAGTTTCTTGGTAAATTTTTTCTACTCTTCTTTTTATTGCACACTTACTAAATATATATATGCATGGGTAGGTGAGACAATATTTTTGAATGTGATGCTTGGACTTTGTTTGTGTGCTTTTTTTCGTGTGCATAAATGCACAAGTCTTCAAAATTATTTAAAATTTGATTTTTGCTGAAATTTTATACTGGCTTCATACTAAAATATGATGTTTGCCTATGACATGATGCGAAAACATCGGAGTAGCGCAACCGCAGTTGTTATTAGTGTAAATGCTCTTAATGTGTTTGGCTGTCAAGACTCAGCTATGCCATACAGTAACAATAGTTTCATGAAGAATATTCATAAACACCATATTATACAATAATTGATTATGTCTTATATATTAAGTTTTTATTATTATATTCTTATATCAAATACAATAGAATTATTAACTAAATTTTATTACTTAAATTATATAGACTACAACTATAAACCTTAGATAACTAATTATACAAAATTAACTAGAATTATTAACTAAATTTAATTACATATTACTTATAACTGTTTAAAATAAGTTTATTTATTTAGGGTGAATATTTTTGTTTCATTGCTAATTTTTCTAAATGTTTATAAATAGTATATTTTTTATTAAAATTCA